GCTTTAATAAATTTTTATGCAAATACATTCATCCTGGTCCTGCCCTCTCACTGAGTTATTCACATATAAATATCTTGCAGGGAATATGTACATAAGTATGCGAACTGATGTATGCTGCCTATCGTGTTAAGCTTAAAGAAATGCAGCCAAGTGAGAAAAGTTAAAAGCAAAGTAAAACTACTGTTTAAATTGTTTGATATCATAACTTCAACATCAAAAGCATTTGAAGAAATGTGGTTAACAAGAAGTCTGCAGAAGAGACTAATTTGATACGTTCCAATTGTTAAGCAACAAGCTCACTACGAGATACATGCAAAATAAAATAAGAGAGATATGTATATCTAAATAAGCTGTAAACCTTGTGTACAATAGGCCAGTATTCCTATGATAATATCCTTTTAGTCGTTCCCGACCTGTAGGCCTGCTTGTATGGAACAATGGTGAGTTTCGAGGTATATTCTGCTTATAAACTTTGCATACATAAAACTGGACCTCAGAAGAAGTCAGTTCTACATATGTACATGCGTTTTGGATCCATGTGAAAATTGTATGTAATAGCATCGTTGCTTAAAACATGTCAGATTCCAAGCTCTCTACTAGAGCCCAATTCTGACCGAAATAAAGGCCGCCTACTAGACGCTGTAAGACTTAGAGCACTATCAGTCGAGGGACGTTTCGTTTATATATCTACAGCGTGGCGACGAATAACTGTTACCCTGTTACAGGTTTTTTTGAGAAATAAAAGAGTCCTTTATAGATTTTGCGAAAAACTTTGAGAGAAAAGTTAATTTGGCACGCAGGTTTTCGTCAGTTAATTTATTCCATATCTTCTGAAACCATAGGCTAATTTTCTCCATTTTGAGTCCCTTATACTCCCCCTTCTGTCCAACCTACTCGGAAGTGGTGACTAGAATGGCCATTGATATACTTTTTTTATACAAAGCCTAAGAAAAAATACACCTGAAAAAGACTTGCGTGATACTCTGACACCACTGGAGCATCGAAAGTAAAGCTCTCGTTCCATATGTACATAGATATATCAACTGTTGTGCTGTTTGGCAGCTGTACAACTAGGCCAACGCACTCTCAGTTTTTTTGTCTTAACACACATCAAATTACTTTACGGATCAAATATATAACAGGGATGTTTAAGTAATAAAAAAGTGAAAAATTTGCAGCAGTGCTAAATATTTTAACGAACAACTCGTGAAACAATTTAAAATATTTCTTTGAATTTTTTATTCATTATTAAGGAAGAAATTTTGAGATAATAAAAACCTATACTTACTAAGGTTGTGATTTAGTACAATACCAAACCTTGAGGATTTACAGTGTACTAATTTTACAGCATTTCCTAAACAAAAATTTCAACTTCGAGTTGGCTCAAGTCTAGGGGACCTAGAGCAATCAAACGATATTTAGTTGGAAGGAAAAATATATTCACCTTATGCCTATCGAGTTTCACACAGAAAAATTTCTATGACCACATTTACATGATGCACATTTACATACATATACTTATACGTACAGACATGTTTCCATTCGAACAACCGTAATACAGCGCGCATTCCAATATATGTGTAAACATAGGTATTAGGGTGTTCCTTAAAAAGTTTACAACTAAATTGTGTATCAAACACCCGCTTGTTTCGTTCTACGGACAAAATAAAAACATCCACGAAAATTTAAATTTAAAAAATTTCTTTTTAGGGGTCACTGCCAGGAGTTGGAAAAATGGAAATCTGATAAATGTTGCATGTTATTGAAAATTATCCATATAAATTCACCACCCATCCGCATCGATGGAAGAGAATAATTTCAACATTATCTCTATATCCCATATACAGCTGAAAAATTTATTCGATTGAGGTGCTGGGAAAATTATGCTATGAAGGTGTGCCGTCGTAAAGTTGCACATTTATTCCAGAATAAAACCAGCAGCGTGCTAACAACAAGCAAGTTTATAACAAAAGAAACACAAGAAACCGCTCAACTGGAAGAATGCACAACTAAAACAATGCCAACAAAAACCATTACACTAATTCAATTCAGTAATAGCACTAATATATATAATAGAGCTCTCTGATAAACAAAAACTTTTCAGGTAAAAGTTTTACCGTTTTTGAAATATTTAAATTTTTTTTAATAAAAAAAAAATCGTGCCTTTTCATGTATTTTCTTTAACTGCATCTACAAACCAGGCTATAGTTAGTAAATTTTTTATGTAAAATACTTCCAGATAGTTTCTTCTCCATACACAAATGCATTGTAGTTAAAATATATTAAGGAACCATCATAAAATTATGACTATTTTGGGATTTTTAACTTTTTGATATTTTCTTCCCCAACTTTGACTATCTCTGGTGAAAAAAATGTACTGAGCAATAACTTTACATAACATAAAAAAATTGCTCATTTA